GCATGAGGCTGGTTTTGATTTTCATGAGGCAACGGCACGCGGCCCAGGTCTATGCTCGATAAACATGGATTTCTTCATCCCTCAAAAAAAGAAAAAAAAAAAACTTCTATAAAATGGCCTTGGATGAAACATTCATTTTCTCCATATACATGTCATTTATTATATATATACTAATATAATTTATTCATAAATTGTGATTTTCCAAGTGCAACCTTTGATTAGTATAATCTTGAACATAGCTTCTCTCCCCTTATAAGCTCTTGACTAGACGATGCAATTATATGCAATATTAATTGCAGCCGAATAGGCAATAAGAAGTGCTGCATCCGTCTTGGAGGCAGACATCCTCCGCTTCATCCCGCGCTCGTTCCGTCCGCCTATGGGTTTAAATGTCTTTCTGCGTTCTGGCTTCAAGTTATCTTTTGAGGATGAGCTTCGTTCCGATGAGCTAATGATTTGCTTTCTGAGCTCGTGAAAAGCGTGCCAAGGACGCGGACAGAAGAACAGAAAGAGTTGATATCTCATTCTCTTTTCATGATTTCGTTCCCCACGCATTCATCAGTTCGGCTATCTCTTTCCTCCAAACTTTGAATAATTTATTATTCATATGGAGATTGTCTTTGTGCCAGTTGTCTTCGTGCCAGTTGTTTTCGTGCCAATTGTCCAGAAGCGTTACCATCGCCTGAGGACTGGCCGGCATATCGAATTCAAGGACCATGCATGAAGAAGCGCTGCTCGGCGATCGCTTGCAATGAGAAAGGCATGCATACGAGGCACGAAACGATGCAAAACGAAAGGAGAGCGACACGACACCCATTGGCAGGAACGCTACAGCATCCTCCAGCCTTTCCTCAAAGCCGCTCCGTGCGCTACGGTGAGAGCCGGGTGGCTCGCAGCATCCAATCGGCGCCGCGGATGCGAGCCCGGTTCAACACGGATTCATAATTCACTGCGTTCGCGTTCCACGTTTACCGTTTTTAGTGGGCAGAACGCTCGTGCGCGAATCTGAGACATTGAGTCGAAGACATTGAGTCGAAGGGAACTCACAGGAGACGAAGCCGTGTTCGGCGAGGGCCATCACCACGATCGCGAGCGCCAAGTATCGCCTCATCTGCATGAAAAGGACGAAAAATCATTTTTCTTCAACCGATTGAGAAAATCGAGATCGAGGGCGCGATTCCGTTCCCGTTCCCGTTCCCGTTTCGTTTTGTACCTTTTATCAAACCTAGCGAGTGGCAGCCGAGACATCACAGCGCATATCTCGATGAGAAAAAAAAAAATCCCAAGTTCCAGTTTTCAAACTCGAATCGATTCCATCTTCTGCGGTCATTTTTCGCCGTCGGTCTATTTTTCGTTTTTTAAATTCCGGAATCGTAATGGATCTGCCTCCCATTTCGCGCCGTTGAGATTCATTCCAGCCGTCGCAAAAAAAATAATGGCGTCAGTTTTAATGGCATTCGTCGGTGCGATAAGACACAGCGATTTTCGGCCGCCTCCCCCGCGCCTTAGATGACGATATTAAATGCCACCTGTCGTCACAAGGTGGGAGAAAGGTGGAAGGAAGGTGGGAGGAAGGTGGGTGGAAGGTGGGAGGAAAGTGGAAGGAAGGTGGGAGGAAAGTGGAAGGAAGGTGGGAGGAAAGTGGAAGGAAGGTGGGAGGAAAGTGGAAGGAAGGTGGGAGGAAGGTGGGAAAACGATTTCGGGGGAATCTTTCTGCCGATTATGTCGCGAAACGGCTTGGAGCAGCTGCCACATGTCTTCGTGACCACATGTCTTCATTGCCACATTTCTTCCTTCGGGCCGAGACATCTTCCACCTTAATAAATACTTATTATCGTTACCATAAGTACTCTTCCGTAGGGAAACTGCTCCTGCCCCTGTCGGCAGAAAGTTAAAGCTTTAAATTCTTGCGATCGAATAGTCCTGATAGAGAACTTTTTTATTATGAGACTTTTATTATAAAAGGTGTACCTTTTTTAAAATGATCAACTTGGAAGGTTTGAGACTCACGATGGGAGAGTGTAGCCACCAGACACAACGGAGTTCACAGGATCCCTCCAGGCGACCGACTGGATCTCGGGTCCTTCAGGCCCCTCGCTTTATTGCTCGCCGTCTGGAGGGGGGGGGGGGGGGATCGGGGTCGGGGGGGGCGCGATCGGGGTCGGGGGCTCCGCGATATGGGGAGATGCATTCCGTTCGGAACCGTTTGCAGCAATCTTCTTCTTTCGCAACCGCTGCGTTCGGTTATTGCGATTCGGGGATGACGCTGTGTCTTCGTTTCCAAAGGGTTATCGGGGACGGAGGGGACACATGGAGGGGACGGAGGGGACACATGGAGGGGACGGAGGGGACACATGGAGGGGACGGAGGGGACACATGGAGGGGACGGAGGGGACACGTGGAGGGGACGGAGGGGAGCTGAAGAAACTGAGTCAATTTTTGGGTGGAAATCGCCGAGCATGCGTCTTGTAGATGTTTGGAACGATGCGATTTTGGGAACGTCCTGAATTGGGGACTTTCCCAAGATGACTTCAGGAATTTTATTTATTTTTTGCTCATTATGGTGTAAATTTGTAAATTATTACTAGCGACTATAAAATGTTTAGGCGCTAATTGACGCGTATGGGTTCATAAATAAATAAAAAACAGGAATCGCCGTGAAATGAATTTTTTTTAAATACTAAGATGAATCCACCCGACTCGAAGGCCATCCCTCATGCCAAAGACCTCATGCCACATGCAACACGAATATGAATGAAATGCAGGGAATGTAGGCCAGCCTCATCGATAAAAGCGCAATGTCACGTGCCTCTCCTCAAACGGTTTCTTCGCCCAACGATCAACATCGGCCTTTAAACACCTGAATAAATAATTACGGATCGGTTAAAGGTAGCTGTCGGTTAAGGGATGAGGGCCGACGCAAGGGGTTCAAGGCCGACCTCCGACCGGAAGAAGCCGGAAGTGCGAAAGGACTCCATCCGGCGTCATCCGACTCCCCATGCAAAAGAGGCGGACGGCCCCGCTTCGACCTCCACTCTGCATGCGGAATGGAGGCCCCCGCTTCCGCGAGATGAGGCTGGCCTACATTCCCTGCATTTCATTCATATTCGTGTTGCATGTGGCATGAGGTCTTTGGCATGAGGGATGGCCTTCGAGTCGGGTGGATTCACCTTAGTATTTAAAAAAAATTCATTTCACGGCGATTCCTGTTTTTTATTTATTTATGAACCCATACTGTGAGGTTCGAAGGGGTGAGGTTCGAAGGGGTGAGGTGCGAAGGGGTGAGGCTCGGAGGGGTGAGGTTCGAAGGGGTGAGGTTCGAAGGGGTGAGGTGCGAAGGGGTGAGGTTCGAAGGGGTGAGGTGCGGTGGGGTGAGGTGCGGAGGAGTGAGGTGCGGAGGAGTGAGGTGCGAAGGGGTGAAGCTCGGAGGGATAAGGCTTGCATCGACCGTGTCCGAATCCGATAAAATTCACCAGGAAATGCCAGAGGGTCCTTCACCCCAAAATGCGACAGAGCCTGGCGCATATCTCGATCTCATCGCTCCGCCGAGGAAGAGGGAAACCCGGGATGCTGCATCTTCCTCGAGCTCCTCGATCATCTGGACGAGGTGAAAACGAAACCAAAGAGAGATCGATCCTCAAAACTCGGAGGGTTTCCGCTCATCAACAAACTACACTCCAGAGAAATAAGGAAACGGGTGGATCTCCTTTTTTGCAGACTTTCCAAATAAAAAAAATTCTCTTCCAGTTTCCCAGTTTTTATGTCGAGATTTGCTTGACAGAAGAAATGATGGCTCTCCCAATAGAAATTGAAATGGTTTCTGTCCGTTCCAGAAACGATCCTCGACCGAGAACTCCACGTTTTCGGGAGGGAAATCAAGAAACAAAAAAAAAACGAAAAAATGTTCTGGGAATCCCGACGTTCGAAACTAAGCCAATCAGGTCATTTTCATCCGAGTGCAAGCCCTGTGAAGGCCGAACTCGTATAATCGCTTAGAGAAAAAGTAAGAGGTTACTCGGCTATAAATTGAGCTAGGAGGATGGTGGATGGCGCTGCAGGAATTCCAGAAGGACGATGAGCGCCACGCTATGAACGAATGTTGCCACGATTGAACGAATGTTGCCACGATTGAACGAATGTTGCCTCGATATGAACGAATGTTGTAAGTCTTCCCTGGAAGAGCAAAATCTGAATTCGAAAGAGAAATCCCAGATAGGATTCCCAAGATTCCGATGGAGGGCGTGGGTTGCGCGAAGGGGCTTTCCAAATCCGGAGAAGTTAGTGGTCGTTTGCGAACTGTCGGAAAAAGCGAGGCCGAGTACCAGTGCAGGTACAGATGTACTAGTACTAGTCACTGACCCCAATACCGCTAGATTTAGGCCAATATGGAAAGACCAGGACAACTAAAGAATTTTCTCTGCAGTTTGCTCGTTCGGGTCGCGTCGAGACGGTGATGGAGTGCAAGATGCCAGATGCACCATTTTATGCCTACGCTTAGCAACCCTGTCTGCGCACGGCCGGCAGCAGCCGCTCTCTCCCATAGTCTACTATGGATCCGTCGACCGCGACGGCCGGCAGGGAAGTGGATGTTTTCGTGGAAGACGGGCAACCCGACCCAGACGGAAAGCTGCGCATGCGCAGCGACGCGTAGGTTACATGAAGAACGGCGTGAGTGCGCGTTGAACAGCCAAGAGGGATACAGAGGAAACGTCTTTCCGCCTCGTCTGCTGGGGAAGGTGTTAGGCGAAGGGGTCCGCGAGGATCCCTTTTATACCCCACCCTTGTGACGTCATTCCGTGCGTGAGCGTATTCATACTCTACGCCGGGGCTCGGACGGAACGCGAAAGTGGCAGACCGATCGCGATATCTGCCATTTCCTCTTAGTACCTATGGGAACGGCTGATAAAAAAAAAAGAAGGAAAAGAAATGGGAACGGTCTGAATTCTGTCTTTCCGTCTAGACTCTAGACGAATACCTTCAAGGATAAACTCTCACTCTGCTAATCTCAGGAGACTAATCTCTAAATAATGCTTTATTTTCATCTGCAGACTTAGCGATAAAATGAGACACGCACACGCGCCGGCCCGTAAATCTCACGCGAGAAAGGGTAAAAGAGCCTGCAGGCTTCTCATGCTGAAAAATTGCGATGAAAGGACCTCCAAAGGTCAAGGACGACGAGGACCGCCTCGCCGGATGCATTCGGAGCGGCCCTCGCATCTCCCGAAGCGGCAGTCGCCCTCCAGGATGTTCACGCACGCACGGCCCGGGGGGCATTTCACGGATTCGCACGTCACCATCTCTGAAAACGAGAAACGTTTCAGCTCGTTATTGTCAAGTACGAAATAGGAGATGCTTTGCGCGTGGCAGGAGTGAAACGTACTTTTGGGCACGCAGACTTCCCTAGATTGACAGTCACGGAAGCATTGGTCTCGTTGACCCGAGATGCACTTCTCCCCCTCGTCACATCTCGTCCCACCGCACCTCACGCCTCTTCCGCTTTCACCGTAGGAAGAGCAGGAGCTTCCACATCCGTTGAAGCAGCAGATCTCCCCTCGATGACAGTCCAAATGTCGTTCGCACCAGACGGTGCACGTCCCCTTGACGCTCCAGGGACAACGGGGAAGTCGGGCAAGGTTCGCTCCAGGTCCTCCTCGACCACCATCCTTGCTGCCACCGAATCCTCCTTGACCACCGCCCTGGTTGCTCCCAGGTCCACCTTGAGCACCACCCTGGCCACCACCAAATCCTCCCGGACCTCCACCCTGGCTGCCTCCAGGTCCTCCCGGACCTCCACCCTGGCTGCCTCCAGGTCCTCCCGGACCTCCACCCTGGCTGCCACCCTGCCCTCTTTGACCTACTTGTCTCTGACCTGTCCAGGAGAGCAGAAACAGAAGAGTTGTACAAATAATTGGGATTGCAATGTCGAATCGCGAAAAAAACTAATTACATTAGTATAAAAGTCCTCCAACTAGTCTCCGAATTGGAGGACGAGTGAATATTGCAGTTTTTAAAGGGTTAAATCATTGTCAGAATTGTAGTCCCCATATGAACACATTGGTACTTAACTTTCTTTACTTATAATAATAATAATAATAATGGCTCATATTCCGTTTGGCGATTTTATATTGCAGGGGGGGATGATTTTCTACTTCAGATGTTCCATTGTGCCTATTTCACGGCCAGCAGTTATGACGTGAGAACATCAACTGTTCGACGGTATTTTTCTTGCGATTCTTTGCCCTTTTTTTTTTTTACCAAATACCGAGTAAAAGCCATTTTAAATATTATGTAGAAATTAGGAATTGTATCATCTTGCGTGTGTGAATAACTTCATATTTCTCAAGTTTGCTGCTATTTCAAATTTAAAAAATTAGTTTCATGGCCGCATCTAAGCAAGAGACCAAATTCAACTTATTCTCAACCTCTAGCCAGCGCTAGTAATATTGGTTCTGTTCAGATTTGCAACACGGAAAATACCATTGGCACGCCTTCCCTGCTTAACACACGAAATTGCATGAATTCAGATTTTCAAACGCAATTTGCACCTGAATGAACGGCAAATCCACGTAATATCTTTGAAGGTTTGTAGGGGTTTCTCTAGAATTAACTATCTTTGTTTCACGGTTTCCCTGCCGAGGACATGAAGAGGACCCAGAGGACATGAAGAGGACCCAGAGGACATGAAGAGGACCCAGAGGACATGAAGAGGACTCACATGTGACGAAGTTATGGCCAACGAGGGCCATCACCGCTAGTATAAGCACCAAATGTCGCCTCATCTGCGCACAAGGAATGAAATCATTTTCCAATTGCTTTGAGAGATTGCTCGTCAGCATGGATGCGGGGGATGGAGTTCAGGTGGCGGTCGGGATGGAGTTCAGGTGGCGGCTGCCCACTTCTCCGCCGAAAGGCGGCTAACCTCCTTTCACGGAGACTGCTTAGAGTGAAGTCGCATAAGTGCTACTTCACTCTAAGCATGCTTAACATGCTTAGACCTACACACAGATACTGTGGTTTTGCTTGGGGAATTTGTGTCAAGAGCGCTCCGTTCTCATGGGACATGTTTCTTTTCCGTGCCGAGATCTCGCGGGAAAAATGGCGTCATTGAACGCGGTTGGGACTCCATCTTTCGCGACGGAATTTTGCGTTCGGAAAAATGAGGAAAGCGCGAACGTCGGAGGAAGTTCACTCGCAATAATAAAAAGCCTTGCGTGCTGCAACGGAAGAGACAACGGCGAGGAGCATTTGTGCGCTACACGGCCAATCTTCGTTCCACGAGCCTTAAGCTTCTCAACACTTTACGATAACCCTGGAGTAATCGGGAATCACCAGCACTTTTCTTTATTATACAGCTGAGAGAGACTTCTGGCTCCTTGGAGTTGGGTTGGGCCAACTTCGGGAACCTGGATCCCCAGAACTAGTCGTTCTACGTACTCGGAGCCAATGAGTGAAATGCTTTATAGGACCCTAACTCTCATCAAACGCAGCCTCACAAAGCTCGTTCCACATTGCGAACTTTTTAGAGAAATCCAACAGTCGCTTAAAGAGCTCGCGTTAAATGACTGGGAAGGAGACACTTACGATGAGGAGAAGCGAAGACGCCAGGCAGAATGAAACCGCGGAAGGCGCGTTGATGAGGCTGAAGGAAGGGAGGGCACTGGGTCCCTCTTCCTCCAAACTCTCGTTTATGTCTTGTTCCTCCTCGGGCGATGAAGGTCACAGCGCTCCCCCCCCCCCCCCCCCCGCATGCCCCGAGACCGCGCAGGGAGGATAGGGCGGAATCGACGCGCCNGGGCCCCCCCCCCCCCCCCCCCCCCCCCCCCCCGCATGCCCCGAGACCGCGCAGGGAGGATAGGGCGGAATCGACGCGCCTGGGTTTCCCCTTCGTCCAGACGGAGAAAAAACCCGACTGCATCGGACCCCGCGGGCAGAGAAAAAAATGCAGACAGCAGGAGACAAAAAATCGGAATGCGATTTTTCGTCTCCTGCGAATTCGCGACTGGGATTCTCGACCAGCGACTCATCGACGCCTCGAAGAGAACTCTCCTATACATTTCCCCATAAGACATCTGTGTTGACACCGCGAATCTCCTCTCAATCAACGAATTCCATCTCCGTTCAAAGAGGTTTTTGAACGTCCAACGCCCACGGATGAGCAGCTTTTGCCAACTCGGCTAAGAGCCTCCATATCTTTTCAGAAGGGCATTTCTCAAATGCTTGAGGGACGGTTTGGACAGCGGGCCAGGCATCTGGCAGTGGGTCGTACTAAGTTTCGCAAAGATAACGCAAGATGTCGCCAGAATCGCCGCTAAAGAGATTCAACACCAGATACGACTGGAATCAGCGCCCAGTACTTTTTTGGATGATACCCGATTTTTCCCCATCGGCACCCCGAGGGAAGCCATTAGAATTCGTCGATACATTTGTCCAAGGAGTCTCCAGGAAACTCTGGCTGGAAGGATCGATGAAGGGTTCCTTCAACTTCCAAGCCGACAGCATTGATATTCGACGACAATAAGAAAGGTCGTAACATGGTATCGCCATGGCTGTGAAGTGAGATTTGACAGGTAATCAGATTTGACAGAAAGCTCCTATTCGTTCAATGGACCTGCTCAAACACGCGACACGAGAGCAGAGAATGAGCGACTGTGACCCTGGAAGTACCAGGATGAGTTCGCCTTCTGCGAAGGAAACAAACACTTCGCACTAATATCAGAAAGATGCTAATGGCATTTTCGCTCTCTCCACAAATAAAGGCTGCGCTCCCAATTAGGCCCAATTTTTTTGTACACATTTTGGTTCGAATCGAGTGTCACACTCCGCGAAGTTCCGTCTCAGCTCTCCCTGATAATATAATATTGACCCATAATATAATATGGACCCTCATCAGAGAGAGCCCACCTTAAGACGTGACCATTCCGGTTGTAAACTTTGCGATCTGTCTCGCTCTTCCTCACGAAGTCACCTCGAATTTCCAACCATCCTCCCTGCATCGACCAGACCAGAGTTTTGGACAGGGGAACCGTATATGACCGATGCGTTGACCAAGTCCAATGTCCTCTGTGGTGTCTGTGCGGGGAAAAGATCGGGCACCTCAGAGGAAATATTAGAGATGATTCCAATCTATGAGATATTATCTATAGCGGATAACACAGTCACGCTCGAAAAAATCCTTTTAATATCCAGCGAACGCCCTTAAAGAACATCCTGCACTGGTGATCAACCTGCACATCATTTGAAGCCGTCCAAAAACAGCTTATCCCCGAACGAGGAATTCCCTCGTGCGCCTGGCAATGTCACTTGGCGATATCTTGGCAATTCGACTGGTTTCATGGATCAAGACAACGGCTCGTAGGAAGAAATGAAGAAAGTTACTCGCTTACAACGATGATGAATGCATGAAATTTGGGGACACGAGATTCCCATCGCATAATCCGATCGTTCCGAAGGATAGCGACGAAGATCAAGGCGGATCATACAGACAATGATATCGGATAATAAATTAGATTGTGAATGAAACATATGGAAGAATCTCCGACTCCGGAGTCGAAAATAATGATGATGGAGTGACTTCCTGAAGATGGAATGGCCAAATAAAAATAACAAGCAAATAGGAAAAGATTACTATCTTGCCCCTACGTAATTCACCTATAACCTCATCTGGAAATCCATTTTCTTCGCAGGAGCTAGGCATACGATTTTATTCATGGTTTCTTTATTCTCTCCCTTTCCTTTCCCACAACAGTGAGAAATCAACGATCATGGGGGCAACAACCTTTCAATGTGTCCTGGTGCTTTATCAACTCGTTTCGAGTTCTTACCTCTCATCATACCAGCAGGAGAATCAAGACGAAATACTTGAGAGAAAAGCCTTGCTGCAATGCATGAAAGACTTGGACATGATGTCCCGTGGGGAACAGGGAACGGGATTGAATGTCTTCGTGGAGGCAGATGCAGGCTTCGACATCCCCGATTTACCGCAAGTCATCTTCCCTCCGGGATGTTTCAAACACGTGAAGGTTCCAGACTTCCTGGACGTCTTCGTCTATGCTCAAAGCATTCAACACCTTCAAAATCAGACCTTGAAGTTCCTCTCTCGATTTCAAAGGAAATTCCTCGCTTTCCAAGAACAGATTCCGGCGTCCATGGAGGCTAGCGTTCTCAAGGAACTGTATCTGTATGTCGAAACCTTACGTATAGAAGAAGCGACCTTGCCTTCCCTTTACGCTAAGTGCATAAAGACACGTATGACGTTGCTACCTTCTGTGTTCCATTCCGACCGTTTGGATACCTTCGAACTATTTGGTTTCTGGAGATCGACGTTTCCAGTCACCTTTGATGGAAACTTCCGTGGGGCGCAATTGAAGCTACCATACATCGTAGTCGGCAAAACGGCATACGTGGATGTAAACGGGAAGAAAGTAGGATTCGATATCTACGTCGCCGAGACTCACTCAGTCTAAGTATTAAAGTCGTAGGTCAAGGATGGACAAGTTCTACCTTCGGAACCCTAAAAGCAGTTACCCAGTACCTTGCCATACTACTTCTACTAGGACCTAGCTCTCCACCTGCAGCGGTATAACACCCTTTCCCTTGACTTTCAGCGATACGAAGTCGTGGATTTTTCGTTCCCGTACGACGTTGACTACTTCAACCTGATCTCCGCTCTACCGAAGGAAGAGTCCAAGGCCCTTACAATCCTGAGACCGTTCTCCCTCGCAGAATGGCTGTTATTGGTGGCATGCATCTTTGTGGGCGCAGGGATGTTTCGCCTCATAGGAGCTTTTGCTTCTCGTCAGTTGTTCGTGAAGTCGTTTGCGTCCATTCTTGGGCAACATGTGGGGAACCTTGGTCGTGCAGCCTCCGTCTTCGTCTTTTTCTCCATTTGGTCATTCGCGATGCTTATCATGGGCAAAGTGTATTCCTCGGATTTGGTTTCTCGCATGATCGCTCCTACTTTGGAAAAACCCATTGATAATCTGCAGCAATTGGAGGATTTGGGTTACAAATTTTATGTCTTGCTTGGTACCATTCAATACAGGATTGCCGAGAACAGACCGAAACTGAAGTCAAATATGGGGATATTATCTCCGGTAGACTTCATTGGGAAAATTTTTTCACTTCCTGATGAACGAAACTTTGCATTAGTCAGTCCTTCCCGACCGCTCCGAAGCATCTTGGTAAGCCCGGGAGTGCGAGAAAAAATCGATCCTTACTTTTATTATTCCTCAGAAGAAAATGTAGACATCTTCTTTCCTGCTGCTGCCCTGGTCAAACATTCCCCGATGACTTCGCATTTTGATCGAAGTATCATCACGCTTCACCAGACGGGAATCATAGATTACTTGACGCGACTCACGATTTATCAGAATTCCCTGTGGCCGATGACGAAAGAAGGGCAGAGGGCCGAGCGTCGGCGACAGCGACTCATGGCGAGGCAAGGGGCCCACGAGACGCTGAAACTGGTTCACTTCAGCGGGGCCTTCTTTGCCCTCCTCATCGGATATGGCCTCGCGACCCTTGCCTTCGTCTTTGAACTCCTTCGGAAAGGCAGCTCGAGAAATCTGCGCTTGGCGTGATGGCGTGCGCGAATGAAGTGTGACTGGTGTTTTCTGTAAGTGTGCTCTTTGTAAGCATTTTTTCTTGCATTCCAGCGGTATTTTCGTGATACAAAAGAAGTGCACCCCGTTATTTTCAACACTCTTTTTTCTTTCGTTCGCTTTTCACAAATCCTTTCTTACTACCTTCGAACGTGTCTTAACTGGCATGACTTGAATGAAGTTTGGATGATTTCTGTCTGTGTATTTTCGCGATGACACTTGAGGAGGATATTCCA